GATGATCATCAATAAATCAAAGAACAAGTGTTGGCAAGGATGAGGAGAAAAGGGAATCCATATACATTGCTGTTGAGATTGTAAATTGGTACAGTTGCTTTGGAAAACAGTTTGGAGGTTTCTCAAAAAATTAAAAATGGATGTACCTTTTGACCTAGCAACTGCAGTTCTGGGTATTTATCCAAAAAAACCCAAACAATAATTCAGAAAGATCAATGCACCCCAATATTTGTGGCACCACAATTTACAATTGCCAAGATATGGAAGCAACGTAAATGCCTGAAAACACGTGATTGGATAAAGAAGTTATGGTTCATATATACAATGGAATATTAGCCATTAAAAAAATGAAATCTTACAATTTGCAATGACATAAATGGATCTAGAGCTTATTATGCTGAGTGAAAAAAGTTAGAGAAAGATAAATATCATATGATTTCACTTATATGCGGAATCTCTGGAACAAAAAGAACAGACTAATCAAAAACTGACTCACAAATATAGAGGACAGATTGGTGACGGACAGAGAGGTTGAGGTTTGGGGGGCTGGGAGGATGGGGTGAAGGGCTAAAGAAATACAAATGAGTAGCTGATGGATGGTCATGGGGCTGGGGAGCATGGCATAGGGAATACAGTTAGCATTAATACATTTGCTAGGTGGAGGGGGAGGGGAGGCGGGGAGCAAATGGGGGATCATTTTATGAACTATATAGATGTCTAACCAATGTACTGTATACTTGAAACTAAAGGAAAAAAAAACAACTAAAAAAAAAGAGAACTAGTGTTTCCTTAGAGGACTACCCCATACTCTACCTGCTTTTCTGCCTCTTGTCCTGTACTTTTAGCATTACTTCTGCTGTTAGAATCAGTGTATCAACAACAAGGTTCAGTGTACACCAAAGTAGATTCCACCTCAGTAGGGCCAAATATGTGTGCCAACCTTTCTTGCCAGCCAAGAGGTCATGGGTGGGTGGAGGATGAAAGAATAGAACATATAAAATAAAATTATATATAAAAATTATATGTATATTTATATAAAATCACTGTAGGATATATTTTTTAATTGGGCAATTTTACCTGCTCCCTTTTGCAAATTCTCATAAGTTTCTTAATAGAAGTCTGATGGAAATTAATCTTTTAATGCCTCATAAGTAAAAAAAAAAAAAAAAAAGGAATCATAAAAGGATGTAGCTAGAAGGGACCCCAGAGATCTAAAGTGTTTCATGGAATAGTAATGTCCTTGATCTTGATCTGTTAATAGGTATTTTGGAAAAATTCCCCATGGTCAAATAAAATTTGGAAATACTGGGTTAAAGTTAAATAGGTTTCTTTCCTGTGGAACTTCAGAGTCTTTAATATGCTAATGTGCTCTGTGAATCTTCAAGAAGAGGGATAAGGTATGAAGTGTTTCAATACGAATTTTACCCCCAATTCTCTTTTTGGGAAATGCTGGTCTAGCTGGGTTAGCTAGTGCAGTGCATTCTCTACATGGAGATGTTCACTGATGCCTTCTGAGAGCAAGGAAGTCCCAAGGGGAAGGAAAGATATATCAGTTGCTCCTGTTTCATGCCAAGAATTCTCAGTGAGATGCCTTTCCTTAGAGGTTCAGAAAGAGCTGAAAGGGATCTCTAGGCGGACAGTTTCCCTTCATTGTGACCCATGCTGCAGAGAAGCTCTGAGCTCAGCATAAAGGGTTGATTAGCTCTTAGAATCTTGAACATATATTTATCCTTGACCTAGCCCAATGAGGACATATAAAGGGGGAGGAGGTATCACCACTGTAGTCACAAAGCTAGTCTGAATCCCTTTCCCTAAGCAAACTGGTTGTGTGAATTTAGGTTGGGAAGTACGAGTTTAAAAAAAGACCTCTCAGCGCTTTTAATATGAAAACGTGCATTGTGAAGCTCCAAGAATGGGGTAGAGTGCTCTGGATTTTAAAAAGTTAACTGAGCCCGAAACTCTTACTTTGTGCAGCATTTGTAAGACACTCGTGTTCTGAGGAAAACCCTCTGAGAAACACTGATCTAATATGACCTCCTCTTTTCATCAGTGAGCAACTATGGGGAAGGCGTTTTTTTTCTCTGTGGGGTCCCCTCAGATTTCTCTCTCCATCACTGTGACAAATTTATTAACATTAACTTGATCAAATTCGGGAGCAGCTTTGAGGAGATTTCTTCAGTTCATAAACTCTTTTTTTTGTATGTTTCAATAGCAAATTATATATCTTGAATTTCTATTGTCAAAAACCACAGATTAGTTTAGCCATCCTTTATAGAATATCACCTGTGCCTAAAGACCCTTTACATATAGTGGTGGTCTACAAAGATGTAAATTGTAATTCTTGCTATATGTTAATAATAATAATGATTAATATAATATTGATGGCAACATAGGAACATCTAACATTTATTGAATGCCTTTCTAAAATTCGTCAGGCAAAGTACTGAGTACTTTAATCCTCCCAACAATTTATGAGATAGCTATTATAATAACGCCCATTTCACAGTGAGGACACTAAGGTGAGGAGAGGTTAAGGAATTATGTCAAGGTTCACATACAGTTAAAGGAGAGAAGATATATATATATAGAAAGATGTAGCAGCATGTGAAACATACCTCATGATGATCTAAAGTGCTATGTGAATTCAGAAAAAAATAATTTTCAAAAGTCTTTATCAGGGAAAGTGTGAAGTATGTGGTGGGCAATTACGATTTGGTCACTCGTTTCTCCTCCCTCTGGGTAACAGCACCTCTTACTTTGGAAGAACTGTTGTCTCTTTCAGTGTAGGGTTCTGGCAGTGTAGCTGGGCACAGTACCTGGAGTTGGACCAATCAGTCTTTGGGAATTTTGAGATTAGAACCAAAGGAAGAGGCTTTCTTCTTGGCTAGTAAAATTGTGAAATCTTGTCTGAGATATGCATGGCTTGTATTCAGTCCTGTGGATGGAGCTGGGCAGTGGTAGGAGAGAATGATGGTGATGTCAAGAGAGAGAGGTAGATGCTGGCAGTGATTCTCCATCACACTTTAATAAATAAAAGGGGGAGGGGCCATACAAGTATTTGGCCTGACAGCAAGTACCATCTTGGCCATTTCTTTGACCTCAAAGAAAGCCTCCTTCTTCCTATCTGTAAAATGGGAATGGTATGAATGCCAGTTCTACTTTTAGTTGTTTTGAGCCTCCAAAGAGAAAACAGATGCAAAGCCTTTTATCAACCGCAAAACAACATATAAATGTGAGGTATTATTCACAGTCATCTCACTACAATCAAACGCTTTATAACCCTGCAACAAATTCAACTTAGTCCCAGGAAGTAGACAATATTTAGGGAGTGGGGAGAAGAAGCAGGAGATAATCAAGACAGTAAGTAGCCTTATTGGGTGCAAACATGTTTTAGGGTTAAAGAAGATAGAAGCAAAAATAGGAATTGTTTCTTCCTTCTTTGGGTTTTAATCCTCTTAGTCTTCTCTTTTCATTCCTATTTTCTATGGGATATTTCTTGGTTTTGGATTTTAAGTGGGCTTTATGGAGACAAGGCAGAACATTGCTCGTCCCTGTAGAATGAGAGGGTGCGAAGAAAGGACCTAACAGTTTCTGGTACCCTGTCCTTGTTTAATTTGAGTTTGTTCATTCATTCGTGGTAGGATATTAAATAGGGCTTTTACCCTCCTCCTGTTGAAAGTGATTAATTCTGGTAAGAGCTCAGCACTATGGGCTAATAAGCTTGGCACAAGCCTGTTTCTAAGCATAAGTTGGGCCAGGGAGGGTAAGAAGCGCAAGAAGAATAAGGAAATGTGTGTCTGTGTTGCTGCTGTCACAACTATCAGAAGAAAAAAAGTTTCCATATGGAAAAGTGGGCTGCCTTGAGAGAGAGCCTGGGGAAAAGTGTGGAAGGCTGGGCGGATTGTGCCGGGTTGAAGGACCTGACAGTATGTGATTCCTTGCAACAAATGGTAGTGGTTGTGTGTGTGCACACACAGACGCACACGCAGTACCCAGCCTCCAATTTCAGCCCTGGCAGGAGATAACAATTCTCAGCTCGCCTTTCCAGGGTTATTTTTGGCCGGGGCTGTTCGCTGATGGCAAAAGGTTCAACCCCCTCCCAATTCCCTCGCTATTCCTTGTTCAAAAGAGAAACTTGTGCGTGTAAAGTACTCACTCCCAGGGAGACCGGGAGACAGGACTGCAGGTGAAAGGGGAGAGGGACTGGGAGTGCGGGAGAGGATCCGGCTCCAGCTCTCACCACCCGAGGCTCCAGGCTATTTTCTAGCGGAGGGTGGGCCCCAGAGGCAAGCGTTCTCTGGGGAAGGCTTGAGCCAGGCGCAAGAGGAGTCGTAGCTGGGGGTCAGGGTAGTTGGCACTGGGAGCGGACTTTTGGGAAGACACTCCGAAAGTGAGTCCAACAAGAGAAAGAAACTGTGAGCCCTTTGAACGATCCCGCTGGAGAGGAAGTTGGGCGAGAGAAAACTTTCTTGGATGGTAGAGGCCAAACTCTGCTAAGGCAGCGAGGGGCCGCGCTGAGAAGGAGGATCGACTAGTCGGTGCCGCGGGAGGGCGCAGGGCGCAGGCGGCTGGGGAGGGGACCCCGGCGCGAGGCGGAGTCCGGGCGCGCCGTCAGGCTGGTGGGGGGGGGGTCCCCGTTGGGCTGCAGATTCCCTCCGGCTCCCAGGAGCCGCGGCAGGATCGTCCAGGAGGCGCCATGGAGGGGAGCCCTATCCCGGTGCTGACGGTGCCTACGGCGCCCTACCAGGACCAGCGGCCAACCGGTGGCGGGGGACTGAGGCGGCCCACTGGCCTCTTCGAGGGCCAGCGCAACTACCTGCCCAACTTCATACAGAGCGTGCTATCATCCATCGACCTGCGCGATCGCCAGGGCTGCACCATGGTGGTGGGCAGCGAAAAAAAGCAGGACGGCTACGGAGATAGTGGTGCAGATGGCCGCGGCCAATGGGGTGAGTTACCTGGCCACCTCTCGCTTCCCATCCTGCCTATACCATCCCGTCTTTTCGCTCTTGCCCCTTCCTATCTGCCAGCCCCTATTGGCCTGGACCCCCTCCCAGGCTCTGCGGCTCTCCCAAGGTCCTGTTCTCTCCTCCAACGTCCTGCCACCACTGCTCTTTGAGGCCTCCTCGGTGTACGCCAGACATTGTCCTATTTGCAACCATCTTCTTCCACTCTAAATTTTGGCTCTGCCAAATTTAACAGTAGTGTTGTCTCACAACACACACACACACACACACACACACATCAGTGTTGATCCCTGACATATTTGGCGACAGTAAATGGTAAAGGATTTTAATATCGTTGGTTCATGAACCCAGTAGAATTATTTCATGATTAATTTGATTCGGGTAGGGTAAGATAGAGATCATTTTGATGCTATAAAGCCTGGGCTCTCAGTTCCCCAGAGACATATCACTAAATAGTCTAAAATGGGATTTGCGATGCCTTCCTTTCTTAAAGCAATTCCCAATTCTCTACAAGATGCCCTTAGGCATTTGACAATTCATGCCTCTTCTCCCTTTCAGTTTTCATCCTCATTTCCTTTCCATTCTCGCATGATCTCTGCAGCCTTCTTTTGCAATCTGATTTTTTTTTTTTACTTAGCCGTCCTTCCTCCCTATCCTAGAACTAGAAGCACCTTTTGGCATATCTCCATACCCTGATTTCCTCCTTCCCAAATCCAGCAGCATCTCAAGGACTTGTACAAGAGGAATACCTAATTTCAGAGGTCTCTGAATTCTGTGTGGGAAACATTGTCTGAGAGAGTAACTTCAACCTTGTTAATGGAGTCAGACCTACAACACAGACTTTTTTTTAAATGAACTCTCTACAGATGTATAAATGAGTGTGGACATTTTAAAAAGTGAAACTAAGCAATTATCTGACATTTAGATTCCCTCTTTCCTCTTCCTAATACTTTCCTTTTATTTATTATTTCTAGTTTTTTGTTGTTTTTTTTTTTTTAAGCTTTGGAGTTGTTCCTGTTTCACGTTTGTTTACTATAATTTCTCCTCAGTATTCCAGGGATGGGAAAAGAGAACTTTTTAAAAAAATAACTAAGAGCAACTGGGAGAAATAGGGTCGAGGGATGAGTTGGGTGGTGGAACTGTGATTTCCAGCCCCAGCAGATGCTGGAGATACAAGACTTGTATTTCTCTCTGGCTCTAACTTGGAATTGGTAAAAGTTGGCTCAGATCAGGGATTTGGAGAGAGTTTGACAAATGGTCTTTTACTCTTGTCAGATAAAGCTGTTCCTGTGGAATGATAGAGAATAACGAGCCTTGAGAGAGCTATGGCTGCTTTTGTACTCTTTCCTGGGCCAGTTTTTCCATGGACTAAGAAAAACAGCCTGTCCAATATTATTGTGAGTCAGGCTATTTTTGAAACTACAGTTATTGATTTGCATGGGCGATTATTATTATGCTTTTATTTCTTGGCACAGTTTACCATAAAGACTCTTCAGCCTCTTACTTCAATGAGTCTTCTCTGATAAACACATTTTATTAACTTTGAGCAGAGTTTATTTTAGAAGATAGTTAGCATATGTTAATATATGCTTAAAATAGAGTCAAATTTAACCTAGCAGTTGTTTAGAAGGTCAGAAAGACAAATTAAAATCCACATAGAAGCACCATCTCTTAAATAATCTGAAAGTACTACTTCTAAGACGGGTGAGCATGGGTGAAGAGAATGGTGAACATTTATCAAAATTTCAAACAGCCAGTTTTAATCAATCTTTTCCACATTTTGTTCACTTTCTTAGGGCTTTTGCTAAAGTAAAATGAATAATCAGAAAGCCGGCTTTGAGAGAAGGGCAGTTTGGATTACTGTAAGCAAAACTGGTTTTGAGTAACTGCAAATTATGGGAATTCACTTGTGTCTTGACTTAGACTGTCGAGTTTTATTCAGGTATAATGAACTTTAGTTCCAGATGCTTTAGCCTTTTTTGAGGTCCTACTGAGTATTCATAAACAAGCTAGAAAAATAGTAGAAAAATAGAATTTCTTCTTTTGAGCTCACTGGAATGTGACTGGGTGGGCTGGATTCTACCTGAAAAATTTTTTTTTGAGTGAAAAAGTTATTTTTACGTAGTAATTTTCTATAAGAAACTATAGTTGCTCTTTGATTATGTAATTGCTGGAGGAGAACAGAACTTTAGAATTTCTAAAATGACAAACTACATTACTAATATTTTAATATCTCATAAAGTTTGAAATAGATTCTCAGACATATACCTATACAATCTGAGATTTAAAATTTTTTTAATCATAAAATTATGAAATTTTCAAACTTTCAGAAAAATGAAATGAATAAATTAATGACATTCTTTTGCCCATGTCCTCGGTTATTAATATTTTTCTATACTTGTTTCATCTTTTTTGAGGGCTAAAGTATTCTAAAGTATATTCCAAAAAATGACATTTTACCTCTAAATTCTTCAATATGAATCTCTAAAAAATAAGAATATTTTCTGTGACAGTTATACTATTATTATCATCACAGAGAAAATAAAAAGTGATTTCTTTGTATCATTTATTACACAGTCCACATTCAGATTTCCTCAATCATTCTGAAATGTCTTTTATAGCTGATTTGTTCAAACTGGTTTTTTCTAAACGAGGAACTCATATTGTATTGGTTATTTGTCTGAAGTCGCTTTTAACCTAGAAAGTACCTCGTTATTTATTTTCATTTTGTTAATGAAATTTTCTTGTTAGACTAGGCCAGTCAGTTGTTCTGTAGAGCATCTCCCCAACCTACCTTTTCTAAAATTTTCTGATTATTTCTTGATGGTGTCATTTAACTTTTCACTTTATTTTTTTGTTTGTTTTTAGTGAACTAAAAACTAGTTTTAAAGGCTTAATTAGATTCATAATTAACATTTTTTTACAAGAATATTTTATAGATGATGGTATATATTCATGTTGCATTGCATTAGGAAACAATCTCTGGTTGTCTCATCGTTCTTGATGCTATGGTGGTGATTGCCTGTTTTTTCCATTATTTTCCCCCTTGGAACCAGTAAGTAGCCTGTGGGGTGAACTTTGTACTGTGTGAATGTTCATTTCCTTATTAACCTTTACCCAATTGTTTTAGCATCGATTAATGATACTGGCTTGAGTAGATTATTTCATTAGGGGTTTCAAAATGATGATTTCCTAATTCTCTAATTCCATCTATATGTTTTTGCTGACATTTTTCTATAAACTACATATCTTCCTCACAACCGGGCTATTTGGTTATCCTGTAATAGAGTTCCCTCTGGAAAGCAGAATATTTCTCTTTTTCAATGATCAATTTTCATAGTAAGAATTTGGTGAAACTGCCACCTCCATTGGCGATACATAAATTTTGTTTTGTTTTGCTTTAGCTTTTATGAATATTGCTGTGGACTCCTGGATTTTTATATAATCAATTTGGAAGGATTAGTGAATGATGAAAAGATTTTTTAACTTGTTTTTGTAGTTTTTATGTGGCTACGAATTTACCTAAAAAAAAAAAATCACCAGAAGTATTTTAATTCTCCTTTAAAAATACAAACTATGTCATACTATATAGAGCAAAAGAAAAATAACTACTAATTATAAAGAGTATATCATATCATTGAAATGAATTATAATTAAACCTAGAATTATGATTAAACTTAGTTTAAAACTAATGTATTTTTTATCCTATTTCTATTTCCATCTGCTTTAGATCCTCTTCAGGGGTTTAGATCCTCTATATATCAATTTATTCTAATCTCTTAAAGAGTTCAAGAGTTAAATGCAACATAATGGCTACAAGAATGCTTTTGCCTTTCTCTAGGTGGATCTATCTGTTGCTAAGAACATTCTTTTTCCTCTTTGTTATAATCTTTTTTAGTTGCTACCTTTAATATTGGACAATGACAGCACCATGTCTATCTCAAGATGTTTCTAACTTTTTTCTAAAGTCTTCTCTTGCTGGAGATGACATTATGTATCAATAGTATCTAGTAGAACTTTCTGTGATCATGGAAATATTTTATAATCTGCACTGTACTGGCCACATGTGACTATTGAACACTTGAAATGTGGCTAATGCTACTGATTTAATTAAAATTGAAATTTAAATAAAATTAAAATTGAAATGTAAATAACAAAAAGTTGTTAGTAGCTATCATACTGGACAGCACAACTCTTTGCATTTAAAGGTTGTGTGTGTGTGTGTGTGTGTGTGTGTGTGTGTGTGTGTGTGTTTAATGGAGCCAGCAATTATAGGTTAAATTAAGGTAGATTGCCAAGTACTACAAATACATATTTGGTAAACCCAAACCACACTTTAGCCTAGGAGACAATGAGGTGAAGTAGGACAAGCACTGTATCAGCAGCTAGAAGGCTCCTGTTCTTTTTCTAGCTCTGCATTACAAGTTACAGGGCAAATGCTTTAACCTCTTGAAATACCTAGAAACCACTTGTTTCCTCATCTATAAATTGGGTATGACAGCATCACTGAATTATCTTGGGAATCAGATGAAGCACTGCATATGAAAGCATTTTGTAACATACACAGCACTAAGAAATATAAGGGAGTATCATTATGGTAAACTAAATACATCTCACATAATAATTATTTGAATACATGTATTGAGTCAAATATGCAGTAGGTTTCTTTGCAAACAACTTACATCTTCATTGCACATTTTAGCCAAAAGAAAATCTATTTATTGATTAGCCATGTACTGTACTGGCCATATGATGATCAACAGCAACAATATTATTATTGAATTACAGAACTGAAGAGCTTCTCAATGTCCTGTGAAGCCTTTTAGAGGTGGAAGCTGGAGCACAATGGCATGAGGAAAGCAGGGTCAGCAAAGGACTTGGGTGTGCCCTCCAGTTAAGGTGCTTGCACAGGTTATATTTGATTCCAGCACGCCATGGAAAGGTGGTTGCTCCAAAGACTGAGAATACACTTGCCTTGGCTT